TATTTAACTTTCTCATTTATCACATTTTCTGAATTAGAGCTATGAGACAATTCAATAAGTATACTTATCTTAATATCTAATATATTATTTGAGTTTGATGATTTGGTTACATGCATGTTACAATTTGTAACGCTGATCATTTCATGATATTTAACAGAAGAATCATCTATATTTGAATTTTTAGGAAAACAGTTTATAATATCTTGAATCTGATTGTCAGTTAGACTCAAAATTGTGCTTGCACTATATGTTATTGCTTGAACTTTTTCTAGTCCTATTCCTATAAGTAATGTATAAATTTTTTTGCTCTGAATATTCTTTGATGCAAATTTATATTATTGACATCTGGAAGAAGTGTTTTTATCTTATTATATACCAATGTTCTTGCTGATTGGTTATCAATTTTATTTATATATTTAATATTCTTAACTCAATCCTTATATGCTTTATATTAGCAATATCAGTATAAAATCTCTTTTTGTCTAACTTTCATTGCTATAATAAACAAATTGGCTATATTTTGTGCTGTAATTTTACTAGATCCTGTTACGATTGCTTCTAGTGAGAATTCAGAAATTTGTATATCAAATACTTCACTAACTTTATTATTATTATCTTTAATGAACAAAGATAAGTCACACCTTAAGTCTTGCTCAACTTTTTTATTATATAGAATTTTTACTTCAGTATTTTATGCTTAATTAATAACTAGATTTACCTTATTTTGTATATCAAAAACATTTTGTACTAATCCTTGATTCTGAAGTTTCTTTTTCTGATTTCCTTCTCTTATTTCATTACTGTTTTCTTTATGTACCCGATCTAGAAATTTTTCGATCTCTTTATCTTCTGAAGATTTAGTTTCTATGCAAATTGATGCAGAGCATTAAGTCACTGTTTTCTAACATATATCAGGATTTGAAATGGTATCAGATACATTTTCAAATATATTTGAAAAAGCACTATCAGATTCATCAGAATTTGAAGTATTATTAGTTATATCAGATGCGGAAATATTACTATATTGTGAATCTATTTGTTTAATATTACTCTCAGAGTTCATTTCACAGAAAGCATTAATATTAGCCGAATATTGTTCTTCTGGGACGAGTGTACTTACCTGTTTAATTTTCTCGATATTGTCATCCAATTTAGCAATATGTTTTTTATTATAATTATGTGTTTGAATTTGTTCCAATTTCGTGACTCTATCTTTAAGCTTAATATTTTCAACAGTGAGGTTAGCAGTATCTGCTTTATTTTTCTTTTCTAGCTCTTTGAATCAGATCTTTAATACTGCATATTTTTCAAAAGATTGTTTTAATTTTATATTTTCGATTTCAACCTCTGTGAACTTTTTTCTAAATTCATCAATCTGAAGAACAAGTCTGGAATTTAATTCTCTTAATAATTCTATTGTAAATTGCATATCCACCATTGTTTTTATTTAAGATATGAGTATATTCAATTTATCATGGAGATAAAAGTCATGTGTGCATTACAATTTGTAACGAATCGACCAGGGCGGCCATAAGATTAACTGTCATGTGAGTAGCGCCACCTTCCGTAATTGTAGCAGACGAATCAGT